CCCGGCCGCATTCATGCGCTGGAGGCGCGCGCTGCCGTGGCGCCGATGCTGCGGGCCGCCGCGGACAGGAGCTTCCATGGCAAGGAAGTCCTCGGTCTCTGTGACAACATGTCGAGTGTCTGCGCCTTTGAGAAGGGCCGTGCGACGAACTGGGAGCTGCTGGCTCAGTGCCGCAAAGTGGCGGCCGTCTTCTTCGCCTGCGAGCTGCGTCCAAGGTGGCGCCACGTTCCAGGTGAACTCAACGTGGCCGATCGGGGAAGCCGAGCAGCGGACCGAGGAGAGCTGCTGCCTGGGCGATACCGAGGCCGCGGGCCGCTGCTGGCGCCCTCGCCGGGCTCGAGGCACGAGCTGGTGCGCGCGGTGCCGCGACCAGTCCCAGGGCCCATCCTGTCGACCATCATGGTCAGCGACGCGGGCAGCCTGGACGCCCGGGAGCCCGCGCCGCCGCCTTGCCCGCTATGCACCGCGGGCGGCTATCCTTTGCGGAGACGGAGTTGTAAACACAGTTCTTCTTTTCTACATTCCCATTCTCTACCAGCTTGTCACGAGTCTGATGTCTTGGGAGGCCTCACGGATCCGACCGTCCTCGTTCATGACGCCGCAGTCCCCTACGGGCCCCACGCCGCTGCTGCTGCCGCTTCAGGTCATGAGGCACCTCGAGGCCATGATGTTCCCACGTCGCCGCGCGCCGCCGCTGGCCACTGCTGCCCTGGAGGCCCGGAGGGGCCAGATCACGTACATCTACGTCGTCCAGGGGAAGCAGGGGGCCGAGCGTCGCCCCGGATGCCGACGGGATCGTCTCGGAGGAGCTGTCCTGCAGGCCTGGATGGGCCGTGGCCTCAACGTGGAGCTCATGATGGGGACCCCGTGGGAGCACCTGGTACTCCCCACCGTCGCTTTCGCAAGCCTGGGTTCTTGGAGGTATTCTCGGGCTGTGCACGTCTTACCGGAGCCGTTCACGAGGCTGGGTTCAGATGTCTGGCGCCGATCGACATACGTCGGGGTCCTCACTGCGACTTGGGATGCCTGGGGCTCCGTCGCCTGGTTGAGTCTTGGCTCAAGCGAGGCCGCGTCTGGTGGATTCACATCGGGCTGCCTTGCACTCGCTGGGTACCTGCCGGCGGCCGCAGAGAACCGGGGCCCGTCGACCGCCTCCTCGTGGACTTCACGCGGCGGCTGCTTCGGATCTGTCGCCAGAGAGGGGTGCACGTCACTTTCGAGAACCCCCGCGACAGTCGGGTGTGGAACTACCCGCCACTGGCTCGCGAGCTTCGGCGGCTGCGCTGGCCCAAGGTCACCTTCGACAGCTGCCGGTTCGGCGCCCCGTTCAAGAAGCCAGGAGCGCTGGCCGGGTCGTTCGAGGCGCTGGAGGCCGTGGGGCTACGCTGTACCTGCCAAGGCCGCCACCCCGTGGTGCTGCAGGGCAAAGTGCGGCATCCCGTGCGCGGCTGGGTGTGGCGGACGACCCTGGCGGGCGCCTACCTGCCCAGCTGGTGCCGAGCGGTCGTGCAGATCGCCAGCTGCGATGCCCCGCCCAGCGCCTGGGGCCGCACAGAGCCCGCGGGCTGGGCGTGTTGGGATCACGCGATGGCGAGCGCGGTCGGTGCCCGCGAGCCCGCAGCGAGCTCAGCACCGATCTGCCCGCGCAGGTTCCGTCTCCCCTGGCGGGCGGCCTGGCCGAGCGCACTGGACCCCAGACCGCGCTCGTGACGCAGGCGCAGGGCTAGCGGAGCAGACTGGAGTGGCGTCCCCGCGCTTGAAGCGGCCGCTGCGAGTCCCGCGAGCCGAGGCCACCGCCAAGCGGCAGCGCCGCGCGGCAGCTGCCGCCAGAGCCGACGCCTCGCTGGCCGACACCCCGTGGACGCCCGGCGACTACCTGCGTCTGGCGCGCCTCAGGCCAGCCACTCGCGACGCCTACGCTGCAGCAGTGGCCGAGCTCGAGGACTTTGCCGCTAGGCTAGGGCTGCGCTTGGACAGCGCAGAGGCGGCTGACCACACTGTCAACCTGTACTGCGAGGCCCTTTTCTTTGCAGGCGAGCCGCTCTACCTAGGCAAGAACGCTCTTTACGGCCTGTGCAAGATCCGAGGCTGGTCTGCTGCGCGGCCGCATTTCCAGCGATCCAAGGATGCGCTTGACGGCTGGGCGGCGAAGCAGCCCGCGAAGCCGCGGCAGCCCCCGCCCTGGGACGCTGTGCTTCTCCTCATCACCCATCTTGCCAAAGGCTCGTTGTTGCAGGCTTTAACCGCTCTCGCGGTCTTAGTCCAATTTGACATGTACCTGCGCCCGAGCGAAGTGCTCGCCTTAGAAGTCTCGCACGTTGTTGGTGATCGTCGCATTGTTGACCAGCCGCGCTCAGGGCGCCAGGAGGTAGCCGCTATCATCGCCCCGCTTGGACACGAGGAATCTAAGCCTGCCAAGAACCGAGATTTTGATTGCACAGTCGTTGCTGGGTCTCGACTTCCGATCCGCCGAATGTGCCCTGGAGTGCTGCTTGCGCTTCAGGCTCGTGCTCGTTCCCTTTCGCCTCCCGCCTCGCTTCTTTTTGCCCCTCTCTCTCTTTCTGTGTACGAAAAGGTCTTGAGAGAGGGTGCCCTCGAAGCTGGGGTGCACGACCTCCTTAGTGTGCCCCACCAGCTCCGACACGGTGGCCCGTCCCACGATGCCCTGCACGCGGTCCGCGACCTCGGCGCCATACAGGCCCGAGGCCGGTGGCGGGCCGCCTCCAGCGTCCGTGTCTATGAGAAGCATGGTTCGCTCCTGAGGCAAACGGCAAAGCTTTCCAGTGCTCAGCGTGCCCTCGCCTCTCGCTTCGACGACCGTGCTCTGCTTGCCATTCTCAAACGTGTCGCTTCAGTCGAGCATCCGATAGTGAGTTGATTTATCTTTGAGGACCCTCCCGCCCTCCCTAGGACATAGATATGGGTACGGGTCGTGTGGCAAAGTGATGGCGGTTTAACGCTGGTGTTTGTGCTCGGCCCAGGCGCGCTCCGCCTGGCCCTCACCTTTTCTCTCGAGAACCCTCCGTGGAGGCCCATGGCACTTGCTTGATGTGAAAATTGTGCATCGCTCAGGCTTCGCCTTTCACGTCCTGTCTAGTCTAGTGCTGTCTCCCCACACGTCACCCGGCCCCCTGGGAAGAGGCGCGGAGAGTGGTCAGGAATAGTCTGTCGTTCGACTCTTTTTCCTTGAACGGAGCCTCTTGATCTGTGCAGTCTGATCCCGTGGTGATGTGTTGGCTAGAAGCCGCCCACCCACCGTCCCCCACACTCCGTGTGGCAAAGTGATGGCGGTTTAACGCTGGTGTTTGTGCTCGGCCCAGGCGCGCTCCGCCTGGCCCTCACCTTTTCTCTCGAGAACCCTCCGTGGAGGCCCATGGCACTTGCTTGATGTGAAAATTGTGCATCGCTCAGGCTTCGCCTTTCACGTCCTGTCTAGTCTAGTGCTGTCTCCCCACACGTCACCCGGCCCCCTGGGAAGAGGCGCGGAGAGTGGTCAGGAATATATGTATATATACATTTTGGTGGCGAGGACGCTATCTTTAACCATCCTCGGTTATCTTGAGCATCCGAGGCCTTCTTGGAGCCCTCGTGGGAAACATAGGGCCCTCATGCCACCTCGCGACATCCCCCACACACACAACAGCTAGACCACACCCCAACATACTCTATGCGTGCGTGTCCCCCCCCCCCCCCCCCAGGGGCGACGCGTGCACCGAGAAATCTTATAGTATATGCGTCGTGGCGGGCGCTTTCTGGCCACACCGCTCGGGCAACGATCTACTACAAGACGGATGTACCACATGTTCGGGTCGGACGCGCGCCTCCAAAGAGAACCTATTGTGCTAGTGTGTCTTCGTACGTCCCAGGGAAGGTTCATTGGGGCCCTCTTGGGACCTCTTGGGGCACCTTGGGAGCCTCTTGGGGCTTCTTGGGCCGTTCTTTGGGACGCTCTGTCCATCTGACGCCTTCGGAGCGTTTGGGGGGCCCTCTCTGCATGAGAAGGAGGAGGAGGGGGAGGAGGAGGAGGAGGAGGAGGAGAAGAAGAAGGGGGAGGAGGAGTAGGAGGAGGAGGAGGAGGAGGAGCCTCAGTCCCTGGGCCGTGCCTGCCATGCCATATGTGTTGCTTGTTTCGCCTTAGTCCCTCTCCCCCCTCCCCCCGCCTCCCTGCTCCCTCCTTTCTCCTCCCCCTCCGCCCTTCAGATTGTCTGCGGGTTTTCGCACCGTGCTCCATGGGGTACAGCGTCTCCCCATGATCTGCCACCGAGTCGCCTGCAGTGCAATCGATTGATCAAGATATCACCTATTTATTTGTATGTTTGGCTTGTGCTCGCACGCCGCAACGTGCCACAGCTTTCCTTGCCAGTGCGCCGTCTGGGCGTGGCTGTTGTTTATCTGTCTGTCCGGGCCGTCTTGGTGCCCTCTTGGTGAGCTTCGAGGGCCGTCTTGGGTCCCTCTCGGGAGCCCCTTGGGGCCTTCTTTGGGTCCTCTTGGGCCGACTTGGGGACATCTTGGGGGCGTCTTGGGCTGCATTGGAGCTATCTTGGAGGCCTTCGAAAGGGCTCTTAGGCCGTCTTGCGTGGTCGGAAACCTAAGCAGGCGAGCGCCTCAAAGTCTGCCAAACGCCTGAGGGACATCAATGGTTTTGGCCTCCTCGGGCTCTCCAGGAGGGTCTATTGGAGCCCTCTTGGGCCGCCTTGGGGGCCTCTTGGGTTGTCTTGAGGCCGTCTTGGGAGCCTCTTGAGCCGTCTCTGAGCGTCATGGGCCGTCTTAGTTTCATGTTGGATGCCTCGGAAGCCGTCTTCGACGACATCCAGGCCTTCTGGAGGTCGAAAGACCGTCAGAAGGCAGACTCGAGGGGAGCGACCTCAGAGGGGTGCTTTCGATGTTGGGGGGGGGGGCTGGCCCCAGACAACTTGCAACAACCTCTCGGACAGCAGGCGAGCATTCCGTGCGTGCACGGTGGCGGATTCTCCTGCCGTGCTCTGCGTGCCATCCGCCAGGTGCTTTTGGTGTGCGGCCTGGCGGTGGTCGCCCCGCCCCGCCCGCCGCACCGTGCCAGCCCCACGGATCCTGCGCTGGTCGCGGCCGAGTCAGGAGGAGGCGGCGACGGAGGAGGAGGCCAGCCGGCCAGGTCTAGGATGAGGATGAGTCGTCCCACCACGTTCCAGAAAGCTCGGGCGCGTGCCTCGAGGCAATGTTCAACGTCGTCGGCTCCCGCGGGAGCCCCCACCCCCGCGGCCCCGGGGGCCGCAGGCAGCGGCGCGGCACGAGGGAGATGGAGGGGAAGGCCCAAATCTCCCCTTCGACAAAAACCAAAGATGGGGGATACTGAACTTCGTAGTTTGGTGTCTTGTGTCTCCCGGGGCCCATCCAAAGTTACGCAAGTCCATGCAGACACATGTCGTCGGCGCTGTGCCTGGGAGCTGGTAGACCGCCTTCGCGCACACACCGGCGCCTAGCATCGTCAGCAGGGGGCTCCGTCGGAAACTCGCGTGCTCTTGGGTGCTGTGGCGCCCCACAGGTCCGGCCCCCGTGCTCGGGCCAGCCAGAGCACAGCCGCACAATATGAATACTGCTTTCCTCTCTCCCCTGGTGGCGTCCGGGAAACATTCGGCCCCCCTCCGCGTACTGTGTTTTTGCACAGGATTCCCCGGAGTTGGGTTTTCGTTTTTTTTTTGTTGTTTTGTCAAAATGTTGCTCTCGCTGAAGTGCTGGCCTCATTTTCGGGCTATCGCTCATTCCGAATCGTGCTCCCGCTGCAGCGCTGGCCTCATTTCCGCGCTTCGCTCGTTCCGAATTGTGCTCCCGCTGCAACGCTGGCCTCATTATTTGCAGCTCCATGCCACGGCATGGTTGTCGGTCCTTCCAAAGAGTCCCCAACTTTTAGAAATTGCCCCCCGAAAAAACCATCGGAAGTGATTACACATTCGGTGTCGATCCGTTTTTTCTGTTGGGCCGCAGAAGCCCTCCTCCTCTACTTCTGGGGCGTCGCCGCGCCATGCTATGTCAGGCTGCGCGTCCTCATTTCCGCGTTTTCGCGCTCAGGTTTTTTGTTCAAAATACTGTTCTTGCTGAAGCGCTGTGGCCTTTGTTCGGGCTACTGCTCGTTCCGAATCGTGCTCCCGCTGCAGCGCTGGCCTCATTTCCGCGCTTCAGCTCGTCCCGAAATTTGCTCCCACTGCAGCGATGGACTCATTATTTCCAGCGCCAAGTCAAGGCATGGTTTTCGGTCCTTCCAAATAGGTCCCCAAATCTAAAAAGTTGCCTCCTGAAAAAACCAGTGGAAGTGCTTAAACATGCGGTGCCGACTCGTTGATGTTTTGGGCCGCAGGAGCACCCCCCACTTTTGGGCGTCGCCGCGTCATGCTATGTCATGCTACGCGTTGATCTTCAACACCATGCTATGCCATGTAATGCCATACCATGTTGCGACATCCGATTGTGCGAGTAGATAGGAGATCTACGCCATGCTAAGGGATGGGAGGGAGGGATGAGACGTGAGATGTGTCGCGAGCGCACCTAGCTTGTCCCTCTCCCCTCTCCTCTCTCCTCCCCCTTCTCCTGATCCTCCTCCTCCTTCTCCTCCCCTTCCCGTTCCGCCCCTCTGCGATGGAACCCGGCATTGGGCTGCAGTCCAAAACCCCCGCCTTGGTTCAGTCGGGTGCTCTGGCCGCCCCGGGTTTCTGACCAGGCTCGTGGAGTGGAACTGGGAACTGCAACCCATCCGATGTGTCTTTCTCGTAGGCGGGGCAGAATGGCCCGGAGAGACGCACGACCAGCGCAGCTGGAGGGCTGCGGAGCCAGCGTTTCTCTGGACTATTGTATAGGTGGAGCTTTTCGCACTGCTGTTGGTGTCGGGCCTCCTGGCCTCTCATGGCAAAATGCGTTCGTTCGTTCTCTCCCCTGTTCCTGCCTCCCACCACGACCACCACGACCACCACCTCTTCCACTCGGCCGCTTCGCCATCCAGGGCGGGGCGGTTCGTTGCGCGCTGCACCGCGACTGCGGGTAGTCGTGTCGCCGCTGTCGTCCTCGTCGTCGTGCTCGTTTCCCGGACCTGCTCCTTTGGAGGCAGGCCACTCCGTTGTTCATTGACCACTACCTCTTCCACCCTCCCCCCTTCCCTGCCCCTCAGAGGTGAAGTCCGTGGTCTGCCTGACGTGCTTCCGTCACGGCTGGACGAAGTGGCTCGGCCCGTTCCTCTTGGTGGGGGCCTCAGCGGGCACTGTCTGCTGGTGAGGAGGGAGACGACGGAGAGGACAACAAGGCGGGGTAGCAGGTTAGAGCCGGCTGGAGGGCTGAGGTGGCGGGCCCCCCTTGGCGGCGCCTCTTGCGTCGCCTTTGGCGCGCTCCGCACGCCTCCGCTCGCAGATCCGAGGACTCCGCGCGGAGCTCCGCAGGTGCATGTTTGTGCCGTTCGTTTTGTTCCCTTAGCAGACGGAGGGCCTGCGATGGGGCGCGGGGGACGGGGGAGATGTGTGGGCAGGAGGGAATGCTGGATAGCGCGCTGGCCTGCCTCTGGGAAAAGGCAGGTCGCGCGGGATGGGCAGGAAGAGGGGTGGGCAGGAGGAGGAGGACGGATGGGGGCGGAGGGAGCCTGCTTCCACCTCCTCCCCGTCCCCCCCCCTCCTCATCCACCCTCTTCTCCTCCCCTCCTGGTGGAAGGGAAGACCCCAGCCGCCTGTCTCTCTCTCCCTCTCTCTCTTTCTCTCCTCCTCTTTCGCCTCTCGTGCATGCAGTGCTGTTGGCACCGCGGACATTTCCTGCAGGGGTGTGCGTTGGGTGGAGGGAAGATGACCCCGGCCAGCGACACCGCACATTTCCTGAAAGATTTTCGAATCTGATTCGTCGTCGATCGATCGCTCGTTATTGCTCACAAGTTTTCGCGCCCCCTCCCGCCGTCCCCCTCCGAGCCGACACGCTCGGCGGCTTCATTTGCTGTTGAAGCGGAACGATTGCCCGAATTTCTGGCATTCGTATGGAGCTCTTTGCACTGCCATCGGTCGGGGTACAGCCTCGGGCACCGTCGTGATGATTCATTTGAGTATTCAAGTGTTTGTGCTGGTCACGATGACTTCGACGACAGTGATGATGATGGTGATGGTGACGATGAGTAATGGGTGGCGGTGATGGTGGTGAGCTGGATGATGATGGTTATGAGTATGGCTATACAGGTGATGGTGATCACGAGTGGTGATCATGGTGACGATGGTGATGCTTACGATGGCGGCGGTGGTGGTGGTCAGGGTAAGGAGACCGAGAAGGGGAAGTGAAGATATATAGAGGGAGGGAGGGAGAGAAGAGAGAGAGAGAGAGAGAGATAGAGAGAGAGAGAGAGAGAGCGATAGCTGGAGAATGGGAGGAGAAAGAGGATGAGAGAGAGGGATGACGAGAGAGAGAGAGAGGAAAACAAGCCGTCCGAACGGCCCGAGGGAGGGCAGGAGGAGAGTCGTGTTTTTGAGTGATGCAGTGGGGGGGGAGGATGAGGCTCAGGAGCGAAAAACGGGTGTACACGTACATGAATCCACGTTGGTTTCCAGAGCACGCATTACGCGAGCGTTCGTTTCACGCGGCCGATCTCGCGGATTGGGGGGCCGTGGTCACGTACGCGGGTGGGCGCGTACGTCATTCGTGGGCTTCTCGGGGGCGGAGGGGGTGGGCTCGTACACGTCGAAGCAACCGAAGAATCGAAGGCCCACCCCGCCTTTCACAGGTGAGCGAGTGCTGGATCTGTGTAGTTTTGAGTCGGGGGTGTCCCCCTAAAGGATGAATATTAAGGAATAGCCCCAAAATAATCGAGGGACGACTGTTCCATTATTTTTGAGTATTTGGCGTATTCCTTGACTATTTTTCCCGGAAAGGGCTCGAGCCCAGGGTTCTCTTTTAGTGGGTTCCCCCCGGTTTCGACGGCTGTAGGGCCGGCGAAATTATTCTGCGATAAATTACGTGCGGGAGTAGGGCCGGCGAATTAAAATCTGAGGATGTCTCGAGCGAAACGCATGTGTTTCAGAATTTGTTGAGGATGTCTCGAGGCAAACGCTTGTTTTGTGTTCTAGATTGTCCTCTCCTGGGGACCTGAATTCTGAGGATCTCTCAAGCGGATTGCTTGTTTTCACGTGCCCAGGTCTTGAGGATGTCTCGAGCGAGACGCTTGGTTTCACGCCTCCAGGTGGCCTAGACAGATGTCTAGCATGAGGATTTGTTGAGGATGTCTTGAACCAGAGGCTTGTTTTCACGTGTCCAGGTCGCCCAGGCGGACGTCTAGCATGAGCATTTGTTGAGGATGTCTCGAGCGAGACGCTTGTTTGCACGTGTCCAGGTTGCCCAGGCGGATGTCTAGCATTAGGATGTGCTGACAACGTCTAGACCGAAACGCGTGTTTTCACGTGTCCAGGTCGCCCAGGCACAGCACAGCCCTCGGCACGGTACATCAATATCGATACCCTTAGCATTGCAGCCTGGCATGTTGCCTGGCACGTTCCGCGGAGAGTCCCGTGGCGAGTCCCCCTGGCACGTCGCGCGGTGCACGTCCACTGGCACGTTCCGTAGCGCGTCCCCTTGGCACGTCCCGCGGTGCGTGCCCATGGCACGTCCCCTGGCACGTCGCCTGGCGCGTCCCTTGGGACGTTCCGCGGCGCGTCCTCTTGGCATGTTCCCTCTGTCGATTAGTTCTGGGGCAGCTACCATCTGCTCAGGCAGCTCGAGCTTACGATCCAGATCAGTTCGGTCAGGACTCGGATGCCAGGGAGGACTCGATCCACAACGCTATAGAGAGCACAATCGCGGCATGGCACATCGCAGTTCAGCACGGCCCAGCACAGCACAGCCGTCGGCACGGTACATCAAGATCGATACACTCAACTATGCACCTTGGCACGTTCCTTGGCGCGTTCCGTGGCGAGTCCACCTGGCACGTCGCGCGGCGCGTCCCCTGGCACGTCCCTCGGCACGTCCATTGGCACGTTCCGTAGCGCGTCCCCTTGGCACGTCCCGCGGTGCGTCCCCATGGCACGTCCCCTGGCACGTCGCCTGGCGCGTCCCTTGGGACGTTCGGCGGCGCGTCCTCCTGGCATGTTCCCTCTGTCGATTAGTTCTGGGGCAGCTACCATCTGCTCAGGCAGCTCGAGCTTACGCTCCAGATCAGTCCGGAGAGGACTCGGATGCCAGGGAGGACTCGATCCACAACGCTATAGAGAGCACAATCGCGGCGTGGCACATCGCAGTTCAGCACGGCGTAGCACAGCACAGCCCTCGGCACAGTACATCATCATCGAGACATTCAGCATTGCATGTGCCCGTCGCCCAATCAGGTGTCTTTGAAATGTTGCAATGCCTTACATTTCTATATTCCTTTCCGGGTTCGTGGGTCGATCAAGTTATTGAATCGCTTTGCTCATTCCGCCGGCCCATTTCGCATGACTGAGCCTCTTGGGGCCGCTGGGGGGCCTCTTCGGGCCTCTTCAGCGTCGCTTGGGGGCCTCCTGAGGGCCTCTTGGGGGCTTTGGGGGCCTCTCAGGGGCCTCTTGAGGCCTCCTGGGGGCCTCTTAAGGCCGAGGGCTCGAAGTTTTGTTTTGTGTTCCCCCTTTAGGGCATCGTTTGGTGCCCTCTTGGGCCCCTCTTGGGCCGTCTTGGATGCCTCTGGGGCCGTGTTGGAGTCTTCTTGGGCCATCTTGGGGCCTTCTTGGGAGCTTCTTGGGCCCTCTTGGGGCGATCTGGGGGGCCTCTTGGGCCGTCTCGGGGCGTCGGGAAGCCGAAAAGATGGACACGCCAAAATCTGCCCAAAACCTGAGGAACAGTAATGAATTTTGCCTCTTGGGGCCCTCTGGGGAGTGCTCTTGGAAGCCTCTTGGGGCGTCTGGGGGCCATCTTGGGCGTCTTGGAACGATCGTGTGGCATCTCGGAGCACTCTTGAACCATCTTGGAGGGCTCTTGGCGGCCTCGTGGCCCTTCTTGGGGCTCTCTGGAGGGCCACGGGGGCGGCGCCCAGGAGGAAAACCATCTCTGACCCGAGTCTGCCGGGGATCGCCCGGGGTACTTTTCGTCTGGGGACCCCCAGGGGCCGCCCCGCGCGCGCGAAGTAGAAGTATTATTCAGCAGTTACCGGAGATCTTAGCACGCCTCTGGCCCGTTGGGCCGGCGAATTTGTCTTCCAAAATCCGCCTGTAGGGGGACACGCCCGACCTAAGTATAGTTCGTCTTGTTGGGATTGATACCCAGCTCAGGGGGACACTCTCACAAGTGAGCAAGTGCTGCTGGATTTGTAGAGTTGTTTTTCTGTTGGGAGGGATACCCAGCTCAGGGAGGACACCCTCACAAGTGAGCTTGGTCTGTAGAGCTTTTCCTGTTGGGAGTGCATCCAGCTCAGGGGGACACCCGTGCGCCCCCAACCCCATAGCCACGAAGCATACGGAGTTCTTACATCGGGTTCCTTGCGGCTTGAGACGCAAGGAGATGGCATCCGAGTAGTTTTGGTGCTCTGACATCGTCAGTGGTCCCGTTCCGTCCCATCCCGCTCCATTCCCATCGCAGAGTATCCACTATGGATTGGGGTGCCTATGAGGATCTGTTACTGGTCATGCTGCTAACCGACATTGAGCACGACATCTGCCAGAAGGCTTTTTTTGCACATGCCGTCCAATGTCGTGCTGCTTACCGACGTGCAACCACTGCCCGAACACATGCATAAGTCCTGGTTTGAATGACGCTTGTACTTCTCAACGTCATGACGTCCTGCATGGACTGCTCCTTGAAGGCGCGCTTCCGGTACAACATGTTCAACACAGGTTTTCTCAGCGGCGAGCTGCAACGGTTCACAAACGGCCTGCCGCATGAAGTCGATGAATTCTGCGTGTTCTGCTCAATGTCATGCTGCTTAATGACGTACTGCATGAAGTACTGTTGAAAGGCGTCCTTCTGGTTGGCACCTGGTCAATCCTGAGGCACTCCAACTGACTTGACATGACCTGCTGCCAGAAGTCTGGGTGTGCATGCTGCGTGCTACCCAGCGACATACTGCACGGCAACATGTGGCCAGGTGCACACATGGTAAGTTGTTGTTCAGCGTCGTACTGATCAGTGACATGCTGCACACCCATGAAGACAGCCTGTTACACGAGGCCGTGCAGGCCAGAACCTCAACGGTCCATCGCCTCAGACCGCTCAAAGGCGGGTTTGCGGGTGCCAGGGTGTCCAGCGTCGTGTTGCCCAACGAAGTGTTGTAGTCGCGAGTCCGTGTACCTGATGAGATGTTCAAAGTCATGATGCTCATCCTCGTTCTGCAACGCGTGCTGGTATTCAAGGTTGTTCCACATGGTGGATACCTTGCCCCGGCTGGGCATCGAGGCCCTGAATGCCCACCAGGAAGTTGTCAAACTTGACGTCGCACTCCACGAGGATGAAGGCGCCATTGCCTGTCCAGGACGCTGTCGACCTGACGACGCACTCGAACCAGGACGTCGCACTCCAACGAACAAGCTGTCAGCTTGATGAAGTCGAGGGCCTGGATGTCCGACCAGGAAGCTTTCAGCCTGACATCGCAATCCACTGCGCGCGGGGCAGCAAGCTCAGCGGTTCGCACGAGGCCGAGCCCGGGGCTACGGCACTTGTCTGGAGGCAGCGTGGCCACGGGAGGTGGACGAGGTGGAGGCCTGGAGGCGGCGGCGTTGGAGGCGGCCTGGGGCAGGATGGAGGCTGGGGGCGGAAGGAGTGGGGGGGCGGGAGCGGGTGCTGGTGGTGGAAGGGAGGCGCGGAGAAGGGGGAGGAGGAGGAGGTCTCGAGGATGAGGCACGAGGAGGAGGAGGAGGAGGAGGAGGAGGAGGAGGAGGAGGCCTGAATGGTTAGGAGGCAGGGAATAGGAGGAGGAGGAGGAGGAGGAGGAGGGAGGAGGAGGAGGAGGGCGGAGGACGAGGGCGGAGGACGAGGAAGATGAGAAGGAGCAGGGAGGAAAGGCTGAGGAGCTAGAGAGGAGCGAGGGGGGGAGGACGGAGAAGCTTGGTCGCGCCTTGCCCGGCAGGCCGCGTCTCTGGCTGGCACAACGGTCCCTGGTCGCCGCCGTTCGCGCTGCCGCGGTCTCACAGTCTCGGCCTCCTTCCTCTCTCCTCCCCTTCCCTCGCTTCTCTCTCCATCCCTCCTCCCTCCCTCTTCCATCTCTCCTCTCCATCCCTCCTCCATCCCTCCTCCTCCTCCTCCTCTCTCCTCCTCTTCCTCCTCCCTCCCACTCTCCACCCATCCCATCCCTCCCTCCCTCCCTCCCTCCCTCCTCCCCCTCGTCCGCCTCCTCCTCCTCCTCCTCCTTGTCCTCTTCTTCCTCCCTGCCTCCCTCCCCCTTCTTATTCCTCCCCCCCCTCTCAAGCCATTCTGGTTCGAGCGCCCATTGTGGCAGCACCCGACCCAGCCAATGCACCTTCCACGCGCGGTGCTCGAAGCCTGTCAGGGTCCCCCCTGCGCCTAGTGCACGAGCGGTTGTGGCAGCCACTGCGAGGGATGTCGGCTACAGTGGGGACCTGTGCCAAGAAGCACCTTGCTTGCCTCCAGGGTGCCCTGGGTTTCTTGGGTTTCTGTGGTTCTGCCATGGAAAAACTTGACGATCCCACACCAACAATCAGGGGAAGTCCTAGGGATTCAGGGTTTGGGGTTTCTCGTGGAAGGTTTCTTGTGGTCGAGCCCCTACTCCAGGGGACCACGCCTGTGGAGCACACGCGCGCGAGGCAAACAAAAGCGGGGCCGTGTATGCTGGCTCTGGCGCGAAAGTTGCCCGCGCGAGGTCGTGCGAGAGCGCCCTGGTCTCCAGTGTGGCGTTCCGCGCCGGCGGCACGCGTTCCAGCCACCGCGCAAGGCCGCCGTGCCATCTCGCGTGAAACCCCCTTTGTTGATCGTCGCTCACTTGCTGGTTGCCACACACACCTGTGGAACGACGCAATATCGGAAGAAGGTCGTCCTTGCAGAGAGTGTGGACGGCCCTTCAAGATGTTCAAACCCAAGCCGAAGGTTAGCGACCAGAGTTGGGAAGAGCAAGACGGACTTGAAATGGCTTGGCAGTGTGGAGGATGGCAAGACGGCAGGAATGACAAGAGCAGCAAAGGCGGCAAGAACCCCTCGGCCGCAGAGCTCTTGCAGCAGACCATAAATTCCACTTGCCGGCCCCACCATCAAGACAGTTGTTCTCAGCCAGCAGGCTACACTCACGGTCAAGGAGAACTCCCTGACCTACAGTCGGGCAGATTCCGATCTACACCAAAGTGTTCGGGAAACCGTTTGTTGATTGGCATGAAATCCCTCTGATCGGAAGGAGCCTTCGTTGCAGTGGCAGCGAAATTCCTCGCAGTCGGTGCCCGGAGTCTCTCGCGCTCTTTGGTGTGCAGCGGGCGCAATGAGAAACATCATCACTATCATTTGGCAGTGCCACTCTTCGTCGTAGCCCGTCGACGTGTCCAGGACCCTCCTCAACGCCGCCCCTCGGGCCGCAACGGCGCGCGCACCGGCGCGCCAGCCGCGCGATTTTTCGCAATCCATATCGGTCCCTCCTCTTTGCCCTGCGCGGGCCCACCCCAGGTTCATCCAGGCCGGCTTTTAGATGCCCAGCGAACCGCGCCTACTTGGACCCATCTAGGAGGCCTCTAAGAACGTTTTACCTTCTTTGGGATTCGCGCAGCAATTTTGGCTCCCTTGGCCAGGTCCCGCGCGGCTCCCCAGGGAAAAGCCCGATGGGTTCCGTGGCGCGATTGATGTCGACCTCTGCCGCTGCAGCGGGCCCAGGGAGGCCGCCTCGCGCATGAAGTCGAAAGCGGGCGTGGGCATTGATCCGCTGGCTCCGCTTGATTTGCAAAAATTACCGCCTGGAGGGCAGGGGGCTCTGGCCGTTTCCATCCTCGCCGCGGGGGGGCGCGGGGCATGGCCCACTCCACTGTTCGTTGTCTATTGTAGATTGCTTCCGAGAGAAAGGGGGGTGGAGGCGGGATCAATCAGCGATCGCGAACCTTTTGCTTCTTGCGCGGGAGCCGCGCGCCATGCGGCAGTCGCCCGGCGCGCCCGCCGCTCGGGGGCCGCCGCTCTCCGAGAGGCGTAGTCGACAAGGAGCTCTTTGTGAATAGTGGCGTGTCTCATGGGTTCGCTTCGTTGGACATCGCGTCCTTCTGCGACGTGATAAGCTGGCTTTTGTTGTCAAGTGCGACTGCGCGGTCGAGTTTTCCAGGCGCTGTTATCTACGGCGGAAACTACAGCGGTGCGCGCCGCCTCGGGCGAGGTGCAGTTCGGCGAACGTGCTGCGCCCTGCTGGCCGACGCTCAGCGCGGCGCAGGGACTGCGCGACGTTCCTCGAATCCGACCGCCACGTCACTCAGCGCGGTCGCGAGCAGCTGCGCTCCAGGAGGGCAGGCGCCGAAGCGAGGGCGCGGGTGGGCGAATTGTGCGCAGGATTGCTGTTTCATGAGCGGCCGTGAGAGTGTTTGTGGTCAATGGCGCCGCCAAGGTCAGAGACTGCGCGCGGCGCTAGTGGCTCTCCATGGCGCGGCGAGCGGCGGCGAGCGAATGTCAGCCGCGTTACGGAGGAGAGGCGTTATGAAGTTAGCTACTTCGGAGTCGGCATCGGCGGCGGACAGCGCGCGTCGCGTCCTTCGAGGCAGACGCGGGCCAAGAAAAGCGGCAGGCAGCATGCCGAAGCGCCGACGACGCGCGTTCGCGTCCAAGCGTTGCGCTGCCACAGAAGACAGAGTCGCAGGGCGGCCCAAATGCGGGGGCTACATGTGCCCATCAGGTTTTCGGCGTATTCGGGAACCATTTGCAGCAGCCATTCCTACTGCTCGGATCGGCGCCAGGTGCGTTCCAAGAGGCACAGGGGGTCGTTGGGCCAGCGCCCGCGCGGACGCGCCCTTAGGGTCAGGCTAGCAAGATGATTCCTACATCGCTGGTTGAGGCCTTGGAAAAATGTTCCCAGCGTGCGCGCAGGACTTCGGCAAGTCCGGAGCAGCCCAACGGGGCGCTTCAAGAAACTCGGTTCGCATTGGAGAGTCGGGCGCGCGCGCGGACCCATATCAGCAGTGATCACCGACAGAGTTAATGCAGATTGGGGTGCCGCGACGCCGTCGCGCCTGCGCCGGCCCTGCGATTTCTGGCTGGTGCCAGTGGGGTTGGGCATTTCCAGATAGCAGCATTGATTCGCATTCCTTCGACGCGGCTGACATGTTCGATGTTCGTGGACAACAGTCTGGCGTGCGACAATGGACAGTTGCAGCCAGAGAATATCACGAGGACGGCCTGGAACCGGCGGCAGAGAGTGAATATCCGAGAAGCTTGCAAGTAAAATTGAGATGCGGGCTGGGCGGTCACCAGATGGCATAACCCACGTTGACGATTGACATTCGTGGCTGCTGGGCCAATGCGAGGAAGCACGCGGCCGGATTGCGCCCCCGCGTGAGAAAGTGCCAGGGGGGCATGTGACGCCGCAGACAGTTATGCGAGGCGAACAGCGACGCGAAGGCATGCCATCGCGTTGGCCCAAGGCGAGACCGATAGTTCCACGTTGCACCCGTGACTCATGCCAGCGCATGTGGCCCAGGCATCAGCACCGCGCAGAGGCGAAGCGCGGGCTCGCACCAGCATCGGGTGCGCTGAGCTGGCGGCAGGTTGTCTTGGCCGAGGCACAATGGAGGGGCCCTTGCTCCTTTACGGCGACGCATCAAGAAGTCTTGACAGTCGATTCCCAGCGCGGCGGGAAGTTGGCGTAGGCATCTGCGCCATGACCGACCCTCGGCCATTGCGAAGCACGGCGGGGCGAATCCTGACACTTCCGCGCGGCGACTTTGCAGCGTGGGAGGTCGGTGTGCGCGGGGCAGGGGGCAACGGCGACGAGAAGAATCGACGCCTTCGAACGACCGGTCAGACGCCGAGACGGACAGCAACGAGCGCCGAAGAGCTGCGCAGGCGTCTGCGCCAACAACGCATCCCAGTACGTGCTGATGATGACAAATGTTGTTATCGATCGCTCAGAGCAGACGGAACATAGGAGTGCTCTTCGACGCGCTGATCGCGCCGCTGAAGATGCAGGAGCAGGTCGCCGCCAACAGCGACCAGGTACAGTCCAGGGGCAAAGGCCGCGGGCTGCGAGCGCCCCACCTGTCCGCGTTCGAGGGGCTGCTGGAGGCGCTCTTGCTGAGGCAGCAGAGCATGGGCACGCATAACTCCGACAAGCTTCAGGAGTTCAAGCAGCGTCTCGCGACGCTGGGATGCGACGAGAAGATGGGCGCCATTCGCTCCACCAATGTGGACAGGTGCCACGACCGCGGCAAGCGCGGGATCACCCTGTGCATTTGGGAGCACCGCATGCAGCTCATCGGGCCCTTGCAGCAGCTGGGCGCAGAGAAGAAGTCAGGGCGGGCGCCAGCCAGCCACATGGAGCGCAAGCTGCAGGAGTGGCTGGAGGTGTTTCTGTCGTAGAGCGTGCGGCACGACAGGCTATTTGTTTCTCTGCGGATCGTCAAGGACCGATGACAGTTTTTACCAGATATTGATACGATTGTTCCAACGGTGGTGGGAGATTCGAGCGCGGCAATCCCTGAGCAGTCCCGACATGATCGCGCAGCCCTGCGAGGAGATGGCGTCTTTGGGCGCAGGGGGAACGACATCGGCCGATCCGAGTCCGAGGGGGATTTCGCCCATGAGAATTTCTTCACAATCGCCGGGATCACAGATGCCAATGAGTAGGATTGTGCCGAGTTTGTTTTCTCCTGGTACCCCTAGAAGGAGCGTTTCGCCTATGAGGTTGTCTTCGGGGGCCGCGGGAACGCAGAGCACGGGGGGAGGCCGTCGCCGTCGAGATCGCAGATGCCGATGAGGAGTGTTTCGACCCCGTGTTTTTTCCCTTGGGAAAACATGACCCGAGGGACCGCGATTTCGGAGAGCTCTGAGGCCCGTAGGTATGCGATGAGGCGTGGAGGAGCAGCCCAAAAAGGGGGCCGTGAGGCAGTGCGATACTTGAGAGCGTTAGGAGTTGAGGAGGCTACGGTACGGTGGCAGGCGCTAAGTAGGAGCAGGCATGCCTCAGCAATGGCACGGAGAGGAAATTGCGCAGAGGGCTCCGTGAGCCCAGGCTCGGGTAACTCGTGCTCGGGCTTGGTGCCCCGGGCAGTGCACCAGCTCTCGGGGCAGGTTCGGGGCAGGCGCCCCCAGGCTTTCTGGATCTTCCTTTTGAGGATCGCCCCTGGGCCTCTGAATATCTAGTTGATGGACAAGACTGGCCCCCACGGAGTGCTTTTCTCTCTCGTTGTGTTCTTCCGTGTCCCCCAGGCTCCAGGCTACAGGTTGTCCTATCGTTCGGCATGTATGAGGCCCCGGGACAAGCCAAAACGATTCCCAGACGTGAGGGGGGGGAGGAGGAGGAGGAGGAGAAAGAGGAGGAGGAAAAGGAAAAGGAAAAAAAATGGAGGAGGAGAAGAGGAACAAGAGGAGGAGGGGGAGGGAGAGGAGGAGGAGGAGGAGGAGGAGGAGGAGGAGGAAAAGGAACAAGAGGAGGAGAAGGAGGATGAGGAAAACTGTTCCCAGGGAAAGGATCGAGGTCTCCCCGGGGCCCGTGGGCACAAATCGACCCGTCGGAATTCTCAACCCCATTCCTCTTCCTCCTCCTCCTCCTCGTCCTCCTCCTCCTCTTCCTCCTCCTCCGCCTCCTCCCCCTCCTCCCCCTCCTGTCCGTCCTCTTCCTCCTCCTCGTCCTCCCCCTCCTCCTCTTCCTTCTTTTCCGCCTCCCCCCTCCCCTTTTTCCTCGGATGTGATCGGATCTGACCTGGGCCAGCTCGGGCCGAAGCCTTCTAAAGTGCGGGGCAGCGAGCGACAACAGAGAGACTCTGAGAGACAGGAGAAGAGAACGACCAGCCTCATGAAGGCAATTTCTCCTCTTCTTCCTCCTCGGATGTGATCGGATCGGAGTTGTGGGCCAGTTCGAGTCGCATCCTCCTAAACAGCGTGGCAAATAGCGAGCTAGAGAGATTCAGAGGGCGAGTGCGGATCGGAACCTCCGAAAATGCGGGGCGAAGAGCGACAGAGAGACTGCGAGAGACGGGACAAGAGAACGACCAGCCTCATGGAGACATTCCCTTCCTTCTCCGGCCTGCCCTGCCCTGAGATCCGCGGAGGGCCGCTACGAGGGCAGGAAGTCGTTCGCGGCTCGGGCCCGTGCTTCCCCATCCCCATCGTTCCCATCGTTTTTTTCCCCCGGCGGGGGGCGGCGCGAGAGCGCGGAAGTGTTCGCACGTTTCGCGCTTCGCGAAGCGCGGAGCGCGATCATGGCTGCCCTTGTCTCCGGGCGTCGCTTCTGCTTCGCATCCGGCGTCGTCGCTCGGTCACTGCGCCCCCCGAGCCCTCGCGGATCGGTCCAACTTACACCTTAGGCGATGTTTAAGAAAACTTAAGTTTTCGACCAGAGTCTCGATTATTCTTAACGTTTCAATGTAAATCTTTAGATTTTAATAGAAATGTTGGGTTTTTATTCAAGTTCTGAGACTATGAATTTCTTAACCCATGATTTCTTAAGCATTTCGCAGGGTGTAGGGAGAGCCACGGCTAGATGTTGGTTGCGTCTCCAGTCCTGAGACGAGGTCGTATGTCTCCCAAGCCGGTGGATGCGGGCAGCCCAGGGGATGACCATGAGCTCAGCTCCTGTTGCGAACTTGCTTTGTTGGCAATCGGATGTGACGAGATGGAGGGGGACGGGGGGAGATCGGGGAGCATCCAGAGCTTCAGGTATGAATTCACACGCGTTCAGAATCAAGGAGCACTTGCACAATGGAGCACTTTGGGTTCGGATGGGGTTCGCTGTTCCTGAAGTCCTTCCAAGGTTGTTCCTCCAGCGCTCATCGTGTACCCAAGCGCTTTGGGTGCCTAGAAGGGGTTTCGTTTCTTCTCTAGCGTTCCTTATGGTCTGTAGCCAATGAGCAGTTCTTGCATTCTTTCTGACCGACAGACCGACCGACCGACGATTGGTTGACGCTTCTCGTATCCCCACCAGCTGGCAGGAGTGGAACTCCTGGGGCCAGCAGAAAGCCCCATGGACGGACACGGACTGGAAAGGAAAAGGAAAGCGGTACTCCCCCAGGGGGGGCGACCGGTACACGGACAAGCGCGCCCGATGGTGGGCTAGGGAGGACTCTTACGCCCAGGGCTAGCAGGGCCCGGCCAACCCCCTCTGGCCTTCCTGGCCAGCGGTCTCCGCCACCCTCACCACCTTCCACCCCCCCCGTCGGGGCCTGTTTCACCTCGCAGCGCCCGGCCTTGGCCGTAACACCTTGGTGCAACATCCGCTGGGGCGGGGGCCACCTCACATCTCACCCAAGGCGCAGCATAGCTAGACAGCCCACACTGGATACGTGGACCCATCCCTGACATTTCACCCCCCTGCTCATCAGGGGACCAGCCCGCCGGGCTGACCGGTCCCTGGACCCACTTTGCTGTCCAACGGCGACAGCACACTCTTCCTTCGGTGACAAAGGGACGTCGGCAGAAGCACCCCCCCCTGCGCGCCACCCACTTTGCTGTCCAGCGGCGACAGCCACCCACCCTTCGGTGACAGGGGGACGTCGGCAGAAGAACCCCCCCCCTGCGCGCCAGCCTACCGGCCTGTTGTTTCAGGCCACAGTTTTGGCAGCTTCAGCTCCAGCGGCGACTAACTGCGACTCCCCAGGACCCACCCCCGGAGGCGCATCTCGCTGCCGGCCCACGTCCCGCGTTAACTGCGGCCTCGGTGGGCCGTCACCCGTTCGCAGGCTTGCGGCCTCGGTGGGCCATCGCCCGTTCGCACATATTCAACAGAGACCTCAGCGGCGATTAGCTGAGACCCCCACGATGTAAAATAGATCCCAGCGGCGGTTAGCTGCGACACCCCGTTATCCAACGCAAGTGCTAGCGGCGATTAGCTGCGACCACCAGGACGATCCAAGAGGAAGACCACGGCCCCTGGCACACGGCAGCAGGGAACCTGGCCGTGGGGTGAGGCGTTGCGTCCCCTCGTCTCTGCCCTCCCAGGCTCGGTGGGTGTCCCACACCCATGGCTCCGGGGCTCGCCCGACGCGGCACTTGTTTCGGGCTGTGGCCCCCCCTTCCCTGTTCGCGCCGTGGTACGCGCTGCTCGTGGTCCTTCTCGGCCCCCCCCAGCGACTGTTTCCACGGCTCCGGGGAGACACGTGGTGTGTGTCGGCGCTAGGGCTCAGGGGCAGCGCCATGCGACAGTCTGGGTTGGCTGGCCACCTCAGCTTCGCAGCAGCAGGACCCCCCTGGCAGGCAACGCAGTCGTCACCACCACCACTGTGCCGACCATCACCACTCGACGGCGGCGTTCCCCACGCCAGCGGATTTCTTCGTTTCAGGAGGCGGCACCGCGCAGTTGCGCCTTGGGCACAGTCGCATGGCTCCCCCCTCGGCACTGGGAGGCGGATTACCGAGGACTGGGCGCTGAGTGGTTCAGCCTACAACGCCTGTACAGCCTTTGGTTTCCCCTCTGTCGCGCACTGTTTCTGGTCCCGGCCGCTCAGCCGTTCGGCTTGTGCAGGTCGGCCACGGAGTCTGGCGCCGCCCTGGCGACTCACTTCGGAGCATCCGCGCGTTCAACGCGCACGGCGGCCTGCCCACTGTGGTCCGGGCTGCTGCGCCTAAGTGCGTTTGCCTTGCGAATTTAGTTGGTTTTGTTCTGTGCATGTGCAACTGCGAGTCTGTCTGCCGATTCCGGCTGGCGGCGAATTGTCTTGCAATTCGCCCCGTACCGTGACCCGGACGCCGTTTCCGTTCCCTGCCCGTTGCTTCGGAGCCGCCGACCCAAAAAAACGTATCCCCACCAGCACCTCAAGAAAAAATCTCCAGGGGAGTTGGTTCGAGGAAAGGCGAAGTCGCTAACCATACGGCGAAGCAAGGCTGCCAACGATAGTGGAACCAGGGGCGTCGATGGGGCCTCTTGCAGCCAGGGGAATGTGTCGGGCTCTCTTGGGGTCCTCGTGCGCTCTCTCGAGGCGCGCGTCGGGGGCTTCCGAGGGAAAAAGGGGGTTCCTCATGTCACTCCCCCCGTCTGGGCCCTCAGAATCACTCCTTGGGGCCCTCTTGGGGTGTTCCTGGGGCCCTGTTGGGGCCGTGTTGGGCCCGTCATCTGGGATCTCGTTGGTGATTTTGGATCCATCCTGCGGCCTGAAGTGCCCATCGGAAGCAACAGGGCGAGAAGACAAGGTATACTGGTCTCCCGCAGGTTTGTGAATGACTTTTGGCTTTTCGGGGGGAGAGGGTCCTTTGAAGGCTCCGTGGCTGCCTGGCTCCTCGTCTACACTGGAAAACCATGCCAAGAGACACCCTGCTTGCCTCCAGGGTGCCCCGGGCTTCTTGGGTTACGATGGTGGTTTTATGGGAAGCGTGACGTTCCCACACCAAAAATCCATGGATGTCCTGGGGTCTCAGGGTTGGGTGCCTTGTTGAAGGTTTCTTGTGGTCGAGCTCCTAATGTACCTGAAAGCTATCGCGAGGCATCTTGCGCGATCTTGGCTGCCATTTTGGATTTTCGGGGCTCTCTTGTGGCAGTATGGGGTCATCTTGAGCGCCGTGACTGCACGCGGCGCTCCCCTCTCCAGACCCGGAAAGAGGGGGCAGGTGGAGACGTAGACCTCTCCCCGAGGGTTGGAAGAAACACCTCGTTAAACTACCCATGCCCGAAGGGGTGGAGGGATTCACTGCGTTACGTCGTTAAGTGCCACTGCATGCCAGATGTTGGCGGTGTAGCGCTACCGGAAATGCTGATCGGCTTGGCTGGGTTCGGAGGTCGGCCTGTACTATTACTACAAGTGACCTGCCAGCCGCGTCTGCGCGCGGCCCTGTGGGAGACGGGTGCAGCTCGTGCGCAGCAGCTTCGCGGGGTGAGCGGCATGTCGTTCGGGGTCACCCGTGGTCTCGGGCCAAGCGCGCGCTCCATTGTTCAGCGGGCCGCCTCTGTCGATCTCCCCCTCTGTTTCTCTCCCTCCCCTGCTCTTCCCCTCTCCCCCTCTTCTCTCCTCCCCCTTTTCATTCTCTCTCTCGATCCCTCTGCTCTTCGTCCCGTCACCTCCCCTGCTCTCCCGCCCTCTCCCGTGCCCTCTCCCCCTCCACCCTCCCCCTGCCCCCCTCCCCCCCCGCCGCTGGCGTGGAGGTACCTGGCAATGTACAACCACTACAAGGCAGGGGTGCCGGCCCCCCCTGTTCTCGCGCCGGCTCCTCGCAGCTTTGCCCCACCCTTTTGGGATTCGCTTCCCCCCGCCGCCACCCACCCCGGATGAGTTATTCAAGCAGTGGCGACGCGTCCTGGCTCGCCTGTAGGCCTACCACAGAATGTTCTAAGAACATTCTGTGGCCTCCACGAAATGTTCTCAGAACATTTCTGGCTGGGACCGTCTTGTTATAACACATCGGGCTCATGTTCTAAGAACATTGATTGTTCTTGTTCTGTTGAACAGCTCTGGGTTTTAAGAACATCTCGTGGTAGGCCTATAGAAATGCCGGGACGGTCGGTCCGTGCTCAAGTTATGGAGTGGTGGCAGGGCCACACACAGGTTCGCCTACGACTTGCTCGACCTCCGCCGAGGCCTGCGGCGGCCCACCGCCCTTGCCGCCTGCGGCTCGTCACCCAGACGGTAGCGCGCAGCCTCGAGGCCTCGAGCCCTCCTCCCCCCCAGCGGCACTGCCCTTCCCCTTCCTGGGTGCCCAGGGAGTGCGTCGTAGGTCCGATGTGCAGGGTCCGCAGCCAGGGAATCGCACTTCCGCTGGCAGGAGAAGACCAGCGGGGAGGAAGGAGGACGGCGCCTCCCGCTGCCGCCAGCTCGCCTCGCCGGCCGGCGTCCTGCAGTGCGCCCGAGCGCCGTTCGTGAAGTCGGGCTGTGAGGTCTCTCCACATTCGATGACGATGACGACGGTGATTCTTCGTCATCGTCGTCATCATTGTTATCATCGTCATCATCATAATCATCATCAACATCATCATCATCATCATCATCATCAGCATCAGCATCAGCATCATCATCACTAGTATCATCAATATCGTCGTCGTCATCGACATCGTCATCGGCATCGGCATCGGCATCGGCATCAGCATCGTCGTCATCGTCATCGTCATCGTCATCGTCGTCATCGTCATCGGCATCGTCATCGTCGTCATCGCATGATCCTCAGGACGCGTGTCAGCCCAATGTGTGTGCTTCCTGCGTTCAGCTCCGCCGGCCTCACGGAGCCCGCGCCGGCTCTCCCTGCACCGCGCGCGACGTGCCGGATGGCTTCGATGGGCAGGCGCACGTTGGCGCTATGCCACGGTGGTCTCGTGGCATGCTGGGCTCCGCGGGCGGAGCGGCTCACCAGTCGTGGCCGGCGGACGGCAGCTGCGGCCGCGCGTCGCCTCAGAGCTCGAGACCTCGACCGCAGGGTTCGAACCTGCAGAGATGTTCCCTCCTCCTCCTCCTCCTCCTCCTCCTCCTCCTCCTCATCCCCCTCCTCCTCCCTCCTCCTCCTACTCCTCCTCCTCCTCCTCCGTACGCCCCTCGAAATCTGGCCCTGGACACGGGCGGGAGAACCGCGGAAGATGGCGGAGGACGGCCACAAGTTCTGGAGAAAATGAACAGCCATAAAATTTTGACGCTCCGCGCGGTCTTCTTGGATCCGCGCTGGGCCCCCCTGGCGGCGCCGCCCCTGGCGCGCCCCGCGCGCCGGGGAGGGGGGTCCAGCGCAGATCCAAGAAATCCGCGCGGAGCACCAAAAGTTTATGTTTATGGCGTTTTGTTATTCTTCTAAGGGTGTCTGAGGAGAACATCAGAGGAGGAAAAGGTACCGTTACCGCTACCCGTGCCTCGTTCTCCTCTTTCTGGGGAGCCTCCTGGGAGGCCCTCGTCGCCATCGCTTGATTTGCCTCGATGGTCAGAACGACTCCCGGAAGAGGTTCGGGGAGTAGCAGTATTGGTTCTATTTGGTGTCCCCAGAACATGCCACACGAGTGAACCTTCGCCTCAGTGACCACCCTATGGGTAAAATTAAGAAGGAGCCGTTTTTTATTTGTTTGGGGTTGGGAGGCGGGATGGGGGGCAGCTGTCGGCATGAGATCGGAGTCCGATCAGACCTCAACCTCCTCGTGGCTCAGGAGAGGACATCGTGAGCGGGAAACATATCCGTATCCACGGCCTCACCGGCCAAACCCCTAAGCAGCGGCGACCCCGTGGAAACGGAGCATTTTTCCGCCTGGTGCCCCACGCGAGACGTGTTTGTTGGACCGCGTTTCCGCGGGATCGCGCCCTGGAGTCCAGACCGCGAGGGTGTGGATATGGATACACTCGTCGCTTGAGAGAATATGCCACATGAGAGAACAAACATACCTCAGAGATCACCCTCCAGGTGAGAAGGAGCTTTTGCTATTCATTCAAGTGGCTTACGAAATTTCGCTGATCCCCCCGAATGAGCTTCTTGGGTACATTTTGAGTGGTTCGTGAGATGCCTCTCAGGGGCCTCTTGGAGGGGTCTTGGGGGCATCTCGGGGGCGTTTGGGGCCTTCTTGGGGGGCCTCCTGGGGGATTCTTGGGGACTCCTTGGGGACCTCTTGTTTGGGGCCTCTTGTGTGCGCTTCGGGGGCGTCGGGGGGGCTCTCAGGGCAATCTTGGGGAGAAAGGCTCAAACTGTCAGTTCGTATCCCCCTTCTTGGGCCCCTCTTGGGGCTCTCTTGGGGCTCACTTGGGCCGTCTGGGGGGCCTTGCGGCCGTTTTAGGCCGACTTGGGGCTCTCCTCGGGGCCTCATCGGCCGTCTTTGGACGATCCTGCGACCCCTTTTGGGCCGTCTTTGACGGTGTCAGGGTGAAGAAGGCGAGCATGCATGCTACAAAGGTACGTGTTCGGATGGGAATAGGACGATGTTCGCTTCTGGGGAGCCCTCTCGTCTTCTGGGAGCACCTGTCTGGCCGTTTTGGGCGCCTCGTGGGCCGTCTTGAAGCCATTTGGGGTCTTCGTGGGGCTACCTTAAGTCGGGCGTGTCCCTCTACATGAGGAATCTTCAAACATAGTAAAAAATAGTACGGGGGCGATGCTTGAGTTTCTGAACATGTGTTTTTGCATGTTTGTATAGTTTTATATTTTTCGTCCAAAATCTGCCTGTAGGGGGACATGCACGACCTAAGGCTACCTTGTGCGATCCTGATGCTCTACTTGACTGTTCTGGCGCAGGTTGGGCGCTCTGTGTGGGCTCTCCTGGGTCGTTTTGGGTGGGGCTCTTCGGACGCTCCGCAGGCCCTGGGGGTGCGTCTAGGAGCCCTCCTACCCCGCCCCCATACCACCCCTCGGCGGCGAGCGAGGGGGGGAAGTGAGAAGGAGAAGGCCTTCTCAGAAGGCGGCGGGACTTCTCAGAAGCCTTCGCGCCTTCTCAGAGGTTTCTTGTGTCGTCGGGGAAGGCTCAGAAAACTTCTCAGAAGGCTGGGGAACTTCCGAGCCTTCTGAGAAGGCCCGCCCCTTCTCACTTCCCCCCTGGGCGCGCAGCCTAACCCCTTCCGTTAAACGGCATTTTGTATCCCAGGGGAGTGGGAAGAGGAGAGTGGGACGGCCAAATGTCTCACGCGCATTTTCACTCCCCCCAGCAAGCGGGGGTCGGCAGATTCCTCGGCCATGCGGAGGGGTTCCCGTCGTGTTCCCGTAGCGTGCACCCCTCGAAGTCTGCCCCCGGACACGGGCGGGAGAACCGCGGAAGATGGCGGAGGACGGCCACAAGTTGCAGTTGCGGCTCCTCGAAGGAGAAACAACGCCATAAACATAAACTTTTGGATCCGCGCTGGGACCCCAGCGGCGTCTCCGGCGCCGCCCCCGGCGCGCGGAGCGCGCCAGGGAGGGGGACCCGGCGCAGATCCAAGAAATCCGCGCGGAGCGCCAAAAGTTTATGTTTTCTTCTCCTACACAAGTTGCAGTTGCGGCTTCGGCCGCGTCAGGATGGTCCCAAGACCGCCCTACACCTTGGGCGATGCTTAAGAAAACTTAAATTTTCGTCCAGAGTCTCGATTATTCTTAATTTTTCAATGTATATCCTAAGATTTGAACGGAAATGTTGGGTTTTTATTCAAGTTCTGAGACTATGAATTTCTTAACCCATGATTTCTTAAGCATTTCGCGGGGTGTAGATGTCTTCCAGACGGCCCACAAGAGGCCTCTTGTAGTCGCCACGAGAGGGCTCTTCACGAGGACCTCCAGGAGGCCAAAGCTATGTATTTACCTTCGGTTTCGCCGCTTTTGCAGCGCTCTCTCGCCCCTTCGATTCCCCGACGCTCCAGGAGGGGGCCCAAGGTCCTCCAAGAACGCCCCGAGACGGCCCAAGAGGCCGCCAGGAGGCCTGCACGATGGCCCAGAGGGCCCAGGATGCCCTCGAGACGGCCCCCCATGACGGTCCAAGAGACCCAGGATGGCCCTCGAGCGCCCCCTTTCCCCAAAGAGGGAATCATGACTGCCCAGTTTGGGACCCAGATGACCTCCGAAGGCCAAGAGGCCTCAAAGGGGGTCCCCAAGAGGCCCCAGGAAGACTTCCAGGAGGCCGAAGTCGTTGATGTTCTTTCGCTTGTTCAATGATGCTTGCCCTTTCTGGCTTCCGACGCTCCAGCGATCACCCCAAGACGGCCCAAGTGGCCGCCGAGAGGCCCAAAAGGTGGCCCTAAGAGGGCCCCGCGACAGCCTCAGAGGCCGCCAAGGCGGCCCACAGGGTGGCCCAAGAGACCTCCAAGACGGCCATAAAGCGCCCACAGACGGACTCATGATTGCCCCCGAATGCCAAGAGGCCCCCAGGAGGTTCCCAACAGGCCCCAGGCGGACCTCCAGGAAGCCGAAATCATTGATATTCTTCAGGCTGTTCAATGATTGGATCGAGTTCGCCTTTTCGGGCTTCCGATGCCCAGAAACGTGATCATAGACTCCCAATGTTAACTCATGACGGCCCGAAAGACCGCCAAGAGGCCCTCAAGACGGCACAAGGGGGCCCCATGTCACCCGAAAGGCCCCAAAGACGGCCCCAAGGACGGCCCCATAAACCTCCTAGATGGCCTTCAAGCGAGCCCCAAGACGGCCTCCGAATGCGAAGAGGGCCCAAAGAGGCCCCCCAGAGGGCCCCAAGAGGCCCCAGGAGAACCCCAAGAGACTTCATTCGGACGCCAAGATGCTCCTCACAGCCCCCCCCCAAACGGCCCCATGAATAGCCCCCAGGAGTCCTTAAGAGGCATCCTCCTCGTCCTTCTCCTCCTTCCCTTCCCTCTCCTCCTTCTCCTCCTGTCTCTTCCTCTCCCCAGTGTTCCCCCAAGGGGTTCCACAACGGCTGGGGGAACACATCGTCCAATTGTTTGGCCAGACTTTGGCCCGACGTTGGACGGCACGGGCGTTTCCAAGAGGCAGGGGGCGGCGGTGATTCGCCGCAGGTGCCGTACATTGATCAATCCTGATGGCCCAGGACGGAGGACTACAGGGGGCCTGCGAAAACTCCAACTCGTGCCCCGCGGTACTGTGGCCGATGAGACGCCTGCTTGAAGCCCCTCCTGACCTCTTTCTGCCTCGCACGTCCGGCCCGCCTGCGCTCCAAGGCCGGGGTTCGTGGCTCTAGCTCAGGTTCCGAAGGGGGCGCAGCTGTCGGAGTGAGATCGGCGTCCGATCAGATTCGCGATGTGCAGATGCATGGACTCTGTCGACCTCGCTACCTACCGACCTCACTACCCATTCAACGATCTCACTATCGATCAGTCGGCTGCACCGTATTCCTGCTGATCTCGCAACTTGTTCATCGACCTCACCTGATGACCTCATGGGATTCCAGCTTCTCGGTAAGGTGGCTCTCTTCCTTATGTCCATTCCTCTGTCCCCTCACCAGAGCCAGCTCACTCTCCTTCCCCCCCTCGTCTGGTTGGAGGAAGAGCTGGGACTAGAACGTCTGGTGGAGGCAGCAGGCAGGGGGTGGCCACCGCTCTTCCTCTCCATTTGAGGTATCGCGTCCTAGCTCTTCCGGTGTGACCCGCGCAGATTTCTTGGATCGGAGCTGCATCCCCCCTTGAGGCGCTGCCCGACAGCGCGCTCCGTGCGCCAGGAATACTCGGCCAGAGCAGATGCAAGAAATCCGTCTGGATCTCCGACAGCTTACTCTGATGAGTTTCTGTGCCCTCCTTGTGACACTCCGGCTCCGACGCGAGGCCTCGTCTTCCTTCACCAACGTGGCCCCCTCGCAGAACGCGCTGCTCTTCGAGGACCCCGCGGCCGCTCGGAAGCTCGCCTCCCACTCCTCTCCGGGGCCAATTGGTGTTTATTGGCATGGCACCCGCGGTCTCGGAGAAGCTCGGGGGCGGCAAAGAGGGGTGTGATGACTAGGGGGGGGGTGGATCTCATGGCGGGGTCCATGATATTTCCCCAGATGTCATGGCGCCTCTTCTCATTTCATTACGTCCCTGGCCCCCGCGCTGGGCCGCGCACATGCCGCCGGTCATGATTTGCACCCCCCCTCTTGGACACCCCCCTCTTGGCCGCTCCCGAGAAGCTGGCAGCGCGCAAGAGGAGGTGGCGCGACGGGGGCGGGCTTCTCACAAGGCCGGGGCCTCTTCGGAGGCAGAGGCTTCATAGCGGCCACTCTGGGCTCGCAGACACCTTCCGAGAAGCCGCCAGGCCCTCCTGAGAAGCCCCCCCCCCCCCCCCGCCTTCTGAGGAGAACCCCGCCGTCTCAGAAGCCCCCCTCCCCCTCGCACCACCACTCCTTCTGGAGAGTAGCGCTCTCCCGCGCCCGCCCGTCCGCCCTGCCTCCGCCCCCCCCGTCGCCACGCCGTCCTCCGCCACCGCCTCCGGCCCCCGCTGCCTCCCTTCCGCCTCCTTCCCCCCCCCCCTTTGGCTCCGGAAGGCGGGAGCGGCACGGGGGCGTGGCGCGGGCGAGCACCCTTCCCGCGCGCCCGCGCACCCGCGGGGTGGCGGGCCCCAGAGTAGGCGTCAGGAGGGGAAAAAACACACAGACACAATTAATCGTCGATTCCCCAGAAAATATGGGAAAATATGGGAAGTGGGGGGGAAGACAAAAACCCAGAAAATATACGAAAATATAGGGAATCTTTTTATTTGTGTGTATTTATTTGTGTGTCCCAGGGCCCCTTCAAGAGTAGGAGGGCAGCATGCCCTGGGGAGCGGCCAGGGAGAGGCGCGGGATGGCACGGGGCCTCCCAGCACTCTTCAGGGCCGCACAGGCCCACGCGGTCATCTCTGCTGGGCTGCCAGGCGCGGCACGTGAGGAAGGGGGGGACAGGGGGGGGGGGGAGGGGCGAGGGGGAGGAGGGAGGGGGGGGAGGAGTACGAGGGGGAGGAGGAGGAGGAGGGGGAGGAGGAGGAGGAGTGCAATAAACCATACCGCCGCGTTCCCTCTTCACAGGTCCGTACAGGGACTTATCTTCACTGAGGGAAGTGCCCCGTTGGAAGACAGCCGTTTGAAAATCCTGCACCGCGCTAGAACGCTATGTTGGTGGTGCGCAACGCCGCGAATCAACGTTACTGTTGCGTCCTGACGATCCTGAATCGCGCCAGATCGCCGTTCCTGTAACCTTCACACCGCGAATCAAAGTAACTTTTGTGCCCTGACAATCCTGCCTCGTGCCGAAGTACTGGAAAAAGGCTGACATGGGTGTAAAAACGTACGTCGAGTGCACGCAGTGTTGGGGCGAGAGCCACATGTTTGAAGAGGAGCCGCCCTCCGTCTGTGAAGCTCCTTGCGAACTTTTTTATGACTCATGTCTGCGGAGCTAAGGAGCCCTTCAGTTGCAAATGTGTTGCAAACTGTAGGCGTAAGGGACATGAGAGTTGCGGAAGTGTCGGGCGAGACGCCCGGTCCGCCCTGCCGACACGTTGCGGGGTGCGACAGGGAAGAATCATTTACAAGGAAAACGGATTGAGGAAAAAGGGGGAGGGAGGGGATGGAGAGGGTTCGTGTCGCGTCGACGCCCCGCGATCCCGACACGGGCGTTCATGGTTGAACGTCGCCGGTGGCCCAGAATCTGCCAAAATGGAAAGATCTGGCGATCGGACATTCAAACAATCACCAATGACGAAAAATTGGTCCCAGAGGATGCGTCGAGATTTCTTTGGGGTCGACTTTGTCATCTGAATTCAGAATGATGGGGATCTGGGTGCCGCAGGTTCGTGTCGTGACGACGCGGCAGCCACCCCGCCGCGGGCGTTCGAAGTTGCACGCTGCCAGTGGCCCAGTACAGTCGGGGCCCTGAAGAAGGAACCCTTTTCGTTGGGGAGGGGCTCCGCGTTCCTTCAGTGTTTCGCAGCCTTCCTGAGGTTTCCCTTCTGTTTTCGATCGGAGATCGAGGGTTAACTCATGGGGAATAGGGGCCTCGTTCCTTATTTAGGGTGGTTCCTTAGGTCAACGCCCCGACTATATTCGTCGAGAAGCCGCCGACTGTTCGAGGTTGAAGGGGAACTGGAACACACAAATAAATACACACAAATAAAAAGATTCCCCATATTTTCCCATATTTTCTAGGTTTTTGTCTTCCCCCCCACTTCCCATATTTTCCCATATTTTCTGGGAAATCGACGATTAATTGTGTCTGTGTGTTTCCTCCCCTCCTGAGAGGTGGAGCGCTCCGCGCGGTGTCGGCACCCGGCGCCAGGCTCGTCACGACGCGAGCCCGCCGCAGGGCAGGGCCCGGGGACGCCGAGACGGCCACGTCGAGCGAGGCAGCGGGCCCCGCCCACTGCCGACCCTCCCCCAGGGCTTCAGTGGATGCTCTGAGTCAGGAGCGAAAGAAGGACGTACATGTACATGAATCCACGCTGGTTTCGAGAGTACGCATTGCGCAAATGTTCGTATAACGCGGCCGGTCTCGCGGATCGAGGGGCCGTGTTCATGTACATAGCTGGGCGCGTACGTCCTTTGTGGGTTCCCTACTGAGGGGATCGATGGTGAGATCGACTGGGTGAGATGAATCGTGGGATCGCTCATGAGATCGATCATGAGTCGTGGGATGGATAAGGAGATCGAGAAGGAGATCGACCAGGAACCCGGGAGCCCGGGAACCCAGGGCCCACCGAAGTCGGCCCGGAACCACTAACTGGGAACCCAGGAACCCGGAACCGGGAACCCGGGAACCCGGCTTGCTACCAAAATCGGCGGGGAATTTTCGCCAAATCTTTCAACTTCCGCTAGGACCCCTTCAGTGCAAGCACTGCTTGGGAATGAACAGTGCAGAAGGGGGTGGAGGGAGGGAGGAGGGCTTCTGAGAAGCACCCCTGCTTCTATAGAAGGCGCGGGCCTTATCTATAGATGCAAGGCTGGCGCCTTCTGAGACGCAGCCTCCTTCCAAGAAGTCCTCCCTTCTCCCTCCCCCCCCTTTGTGCGCGCCGCCAGCAGTTGACACCAGGGGGGTGTGGAGCGCGTTCTCCCACCTGGCGAACGGAAGGTTCACTCGCGGTCCCGTTCCCGACGAATTGGCGACGGAGGAGCTACGCGAGCCGCGCAGGGTCGAAAGTGGAGCTTCAGAAAAGCCTTGCGCGGCGCTGCGGCGTTGAACACATCTGATCCAGCGCGAACGAAATATTAAATCAGCGCGGCGACGACATCAGAGGCAACGATTGGGGGGAGAGGCATCGGGCGGGATGCATCGACCCCGAATCGCCCACTGCTTGCCGACAGGGGCACGATAGCCCCCACCCGCCAAGGAAGATGCGGATCCAACATTGGGGGCCCAGCGTCGATATGTCGGCGATGCATCGCCGATTCCAAGGCGATGCGTCCCCCCCTATGCCAGTCCCCCCCCCCTATCGCTGCCCCTCGCGACAGCGCACGCACTGGCGCAGAAAAGAACCCCGCCACTTCCACCCACACGGCCTGCGCGACGGCAGGGCGAGGACAGCGTGACGCCCGCGCGGCCGCGCCGCACTGCTCTTCGGCTGCTGCTGCCGTGCGACTTCCGGCGATCGCAGCATATGCGCCGCGCCCGCGCGGCAGACGCGAGTTCCACGCGGAATGTTCGCGACGAGTGTTATTCGGGCCGGACGAAACGGGGGGATTGGGAAAGGGGGGGTTACGAAATCTGCTGCATGCAGCTGGTTTCGGCCCCACCGAGGGGCCCATTCCTCGATACATAGCCGCCTCCCGGCGCCGGGAGGCGCCGGGAAAATCAGCTACGTGAGCTGATTCTCAAACCCCCCCTTTGCTATCCCCCCCTTTCGCCCGGCCCGTGTTACGCCGTTGTTCACGAACGTCGTGGCAGGGAGGTGCAGGAAAAGAGGTGGCGCAAAGCGAAACACACAAAGCGAGCACACAACGAAGCACAGCGCCCAGGTCCAGCCCTTTTGTTGTGCGGGGGCGACAGGTCGACCGCCTCGCCAGCTCGGGGGCTCCAGTTTGAAGTCGGGCGTGTCCCTTGAAAGGAGGAGTATTCAAAAATAGTCAAACAATACTCTGATGCCGATTTTCCGACTATGGCTGACTATTTCTGGGTACAGTTGACTATGCTTTAGTTTTTCTTCCAAAATCATCATGTTGGGGAACATGCCCGATCTAACTTTTGTTTCGGGGGGTCACGACCGCAGCGCCGACGCGAGAGCGAGCCTTCTCCTCTTCGCACGATCTGTGCGGCCCTGTCAGCTCTGCCACGCACAGTGCAGCGTCGACGCCCAACGCCCAGGTTGTAAGGAAAAGCATCGACTCCGCACTGGGAGGGGTTCGCTCTGCAGGGAGGGTGGAAGCACATACGGTAGGTTTGCGTCGTGTCGACCAGCGGCGACCCCAGCGCGGGCGTTCAAGGTTGAACGCCGCCGGCGACCCAGAATCGATCGACGTTGAACGATTGGACGTTGCGGAGACGGCAGATCGTTCAAGGTTGAACGATCCAGCGCGGTGTCAAAAACCAACGCTGGGGTCGGCACGACACGAACCCGCCGTATGCGGACCGGGCCCGGTTGTGTTGCACGCTTTGGGCTTCCGGCGGAATTTTGCTTTCGCCAGGGCGCGCCAAACTTCGGCCGAACTAGTCTGAGAGGCCATCCGTTTGCGGTTCGTTGGAAGGGCCCCGGGTGTTGCGTTTTGTTTTGCGGCTTGTTTCTTCAGTAGCAGTTGTAAGGCTTTTTCCCAACCATTTTTTGGTGTTGGGTCTTCGTTTTGAAGCGACAGCGCCCCGCGTTCCTTCCTTCCTCCTCCCTTCTCTTCCCCCTCCTCCTCGTCCTTCTCCTTCTCTTCCTCCCCCTCCTTCCTCCCCCATCCCTGCCTCTGCCCCACGCGTGTCCACTTCGGCATGCGACTCACGCGCTTCTTGGCCCCTCAGGTAGTTCCGCCGAAGTCCCCAGTGGCACAGTCCGCATGGCGCACCCGCGCCCTATTCGGCTCACCCCTCACACGCGTCGTGGCCCCCCAAGGAGCTCCACCCAAGGGCCCCAGTGGCACAGCCCGCATGGCGTACCCGCGCCCGATTCGGCGCAACCTTATCACACGCTTAGGCCTCTGTGGCACAGTCGGCACGGCGTGCCCGCGCCCGATTCAGCACACCCCTCTTGCGTTTCGTGGCTCCACAGGGGGCTCAATGGGAGGCCCCAACGGAACAGTCCGCCTGGCATACCCGCGCCCAAATTGGCACACGCTTCACACGTTTCGTGGCCCCATAGGGAGCTCCGTCGAAGGCCCCGGTGGCACAGTCCGCATGGCGTACCCGCACTCGACTCTGCACACCCCTCACACGTGTCGTGGCCCCATAATTGAGGTTGCTCCACCGATGGCACAGCCCGCATGACGTACTCGCATCCGATTCGGCACACACCTTACACGGGGGTTCCACCGAAGGCCCCACTGGCACAGTCCTCATGGTGCACCCGCGCCATATTCGGTTCACCCCTCACATGTTTCGTGGCCCGATGGGGAGCTCCACAGAAGGCCCCAGTGACACAGTCCGGTTGGCGTACCCGCGCCCGATGTTGAACACCCCTCACGCATTTGGTGGCCCCATAGGGAGGAGCTTCACCGAAGGCCCCAGCGGCACAGTCTGGATGGCGCA